ATATAGAGTTAATCTTCACATCGAGTTGTCAGTGGGTTTCTATCTTTTGGGTTCAAACATAAGGCATGCCTCATGGCACTGCACACTTTAATGCATGACCTCTCTCCTGCCTGTGGTGTGAGAAACTAGACTCCTTCCTGTTGAAGAAAATACATATTCTCACTAAAATCCTGGGTTCCTCCCTGTTCAAGTGTTATGCAAGGTGAGTGCTACTTAGCTAATTAGGTCGTGATACCAGGCAGAGCAATTATCAGAGAGTGTATGTAATTCCATCATCAAGGTAAGGCAAAACAAAGTTACAAGGTATATACAGTATATCTAATGAAATTGATACTGAAACCAATAATGGGGCATCAATCCTCCCTCTGGACACCAAGTGCTGGGGCATTTATTCACTCCCACAAATACCAATGATGGGGGGGAACTATTCCTCCCACTGACACCAATGATAGGGCACTATTCCTCCCACTGACACACCAATGATAGGGCACTATTCCTTCCACTGACATTCTTCCCACTGACACCAGTGATGGGGCACTAAATTCCACCCTCTGACACCAATGATGGGGCATAATTGCTACCCAATGATACCAATAATGGAGCACTTATTCTTTCCACATGACACCACTGATGAGGTCATATTCCTCCCACTGATAGCAATGATGGGGCCACTATTCCTCCCACTGATACCAATGATAGGAACACTATTCCGCCACCCCACCTGATACCAATGATGGGGCACTATTCCTCCCACTGATACCATTGATGGGACACTATTCCTCCCACTGATACCAATGATGGGGCACTATTCCTCCACTGACATCAATGATGGGGAACTATTCCTCCCACTGATACCAATGATGGGGCACTATTCCTCCCACTGACACCAATGATGGGGCACTATTCGCCCTCCCACTGGACACCAATGATGGGGCACTATTCCTCCCACTGATACCAATGATGGGGCACTATTTCCTCCCACTGATACCAATGATGGGGCACTATTCCTCCCACTGATACCAATGATGGGGTACTATTCCTCCCACTGATACAAAATGATGGGGGGCACTATTCCTCCCACTGATACCAATGATGGGGCACTATTCCTCCCACTGATACCAATGATGGGGCACTATTCCTCCCCACTGATACCAATGATAGGGCTATATTTCTAACCACCAATACCAAATAATGGGGCACTATTTTTACAACAGACATCAGTGACGGGGCATTATTCCTCCCTCCAAAAACCAATGATGGGACACTATTCCTTCCACTGATAGTGATGATGGGACACTTTCTTCCCACTGATAGCAATGATAGGGCACTATTTTTCCTACAGACACCAATTATAAAGGATATTCCTGCCCACCAATATTAATTGTGGGACACTATTCCTCCCACTGATACCAATGATCGGGACACTATTCCTCCCACTGATAACCAATGATGGGACACTATTCCTCCCACTGATTAACCAATGATCGGGGCACTATTCCTCCCACTGACACCAATGATGGGGCACTATTCTCTCCCACTGACACCAATGATGGTGGGCACTATTCCTCCCACTGAAAACCAATGATGGGACACTATTCCTCCCACTGATACCAATGATGGGGGCACTATTCCTCCACTGACACCAATGGTGGGGCACTTTATTCCTCCCACTGATACCAATGATGGGACACTATTCCTCCCACTGATACCAATGATGGGACATTATTCCTCCCACTGATACCAATGATGGGACACTATTCCTCCCACTGATACCAATGATGGGGCACTATTCCTACTGCTGACACCAATGATGAGGCACTATTTCTCCCACCAAAAAGCAGTGGAGCACTATTCCTCCCACTAATACCAATATCAATACCAATCCACTGACAACCAAGCTGGAGGTTTTGTTTATTCCTGATATCCTGATGCCAGGATATTTTCTATTCCAGCTGGCCACAGTCTGGCTGTTAGGAATGGACTGCCAGCAATGGTGGGACTCACCTGCCTTTTGATCTGCAAGTACCAGGGCTGGCCAGCGGGTGCTCCCAGCAAATCAGAGACTCAACCTTTCAGCCAGCTAACACCTGGAACTGATGATACTGGGGTATTTAAGGGATGGCCAGACTTGCAGACTCTGCCTTGGTGTTGTGTTTGTCCTGGGCCCTGTATCTGTCCTGCATCCTGTTTCTGTTCCTTCGCTGACCCTGATCTGAACTGCTGCTGAACTTCTCCTGCTCTGATCCTGGCTTGTGACCCTGACCACCCCTCTGTCTGACCCTCTGTACCTCGCTGCTTGCTACCTGCTGAACCTGGCCTGTGACCCCCGACCATTCTCTGCTTGCTCCCCCGTACCTACCTGCCCAATTGTTATTGACCCCGGCCTGTGCCTGACGACGCTTGCTTGTATGTACTGTTATCTGTGGGTGGTTGGTTTGGTTTGTTTGCACTGTAGTATGTTTAGTATTGCACTGCGTTTATGTTTGTATGGTTTAGTGTTAATAAATATATTGTTTATAACATATCTGAGGTCTGCGTTTCCCTGCATCAGTCACACATCTCTGGTCATACCTGGGAGTCCTGACATTACACCAAGGGCCAATCCTGACCAGAAGTGGCTGCACAGGGAAGCCATCTTGGCTTGTTGATGGGAAGGATGGATCTTGATGAGGTTGAGTATTTATATCTGCTAGTGTTTGATGACAGGGAGTATGCTTATCAAACTCTGAAGGAGTATAACCCGGGATGAATTGCTAGAATGTATACGGCTCGCTCATGTTCTAGTAGATCAGGGCACAGTGTTCTCTGAGGTGCAGCCATTGATTGAGGTTTGTGCAGAGTTGGTTTCATCTGGTTCCCCCGAATGCAGGGATGAATTTTTGCCACCATTTAGTGCAGACCAGGTAGAGTCCCTGGTGTGGTTATTAAGGAGGATGATGTGGGTTACCTTTTGGAGCGTTACTCCACATGTTCACCACAGACACTAAGAGATTGTATCAACGCAGTGCAGTCATTGACCAGACAGGCTTTGTGTAAGCTCAGCTTTGTTCAACCCATACTGCAGACATGGACAGACTTGTTTGCACCCAGCCTCAGTCAGCTTACAAAGACCCAGTCCTGCTTCTAACTCTACTCCTGTATTCCCACCAGCTCCTCCTGCCCTGCTATCTACCGCATATGTCAGTCCCCCTGTTCCCACTCGCTGCACCTAATCCTGCCTTTAACCACCCTGTAAAAGAGCCCTCTGTAGCAACTGCTCCCCTCCCTGTTCCATCCTCCAGTTTTCTCTGTCTCCAGGTGCTCCATTCGTTTGCAGACCTGCGTTTACTTGCAGTGCTCCAGTAGTTAAAACCAGAAAAAAGCGAAAATTCTTTCCAACCAATACCATCCTGCCAGTATCCAAACCGGATGAGCCTGCCTTCCGTGACTCGGCCTGAAGCCTCTACTCAGCCTGAAGCCTCTACTTTCTCGGCCTGAAGCCTCTACTCGGCCTGAAAGCCTCTACTCGGCCTGAAGCCTCTACTCGGCCTGAAAGCCTCTACTCGGCCTGATGCCTCTCTTCAGCCGGATGCCTCTCTTCAGCCGGATGCCTCTCTTCAGCCGGATGCCTCTCTTCAGCCGGATGCCTCTCCTCAGCCTGAAGCCTCTCCTCAGCCTGAAGCCTCTCCTCAGCCTGAAGCCTGCATTCAGCCTGATGCCTGCATTCAGCCTGATGAACTGATCCAGCCCGACGATCCTATTAGGCCAGTTGACTCGATGCCCGCTGTTGATCCAGATGATCCGGTACCTGATCCAGTGCCCGCTGTCGTGCCAATTGACTCAGAGCCCGCTGTCATACCTGGTGACCCGGTGCCCACTGCCTTGCCAGATGACGCGGTGCCCGCTGTCGAGCCAAATGACCTGATGCCATGGTGACCCTGTGCCCGCTGTCCAGTCAGACGATCCAATGTCTGACCCAGTGCCCGCGGTCATACCAGTTGACTTGGAGCCCACTGCCTTGCCAGATGACGCGGTTGCCCGCTGTCGAGCCAAATGACCTGATGCCTGGTGACCCAGTGCCCGCTGTCAGTCAGACGATCCAATGTCTGACCCAGTGCCCGCGGTCATACCAGTTGACTCGGAGCCCACTGCCTTGCCGGATGACGCGGTGCCCGCTGTCGAGCCAAAATGACCTGATGCCTGGTGACCCAGTGCCCCCGCTGTCCAGTCAGACGATCCAATGTCTGACCCAGTGCCCCGCGGTCATACCAGTTTGACTTGGAGCCCACTGCCTTGCCAGATGACGCGGTGGCCCGCTGTCGAGCCCCAAATGACCTGATGCCTGGTGACCCGATGCCCGCTGTCCAGCCAGACCATACAATGTCTGACCCAGTGCCTGCGGTCATACCAGTTTGACTCGGAGCCCACTGTCGTGCCTGGTGACTCGGTGCCCGCCCGCTCCGCCTGGGGGCCCGAGACCTGATTTGCTCCGCTTGGGGGTCCAGCGCCCGCCGCTCCGCCTGGGGATCCGGCGCCCCGCCGCCCCGCCTGGGGGCCTGAGACCTGTCGCTCCCGCCTGAGGGTCCGAGACCTGTCGCTCCAACCTGGGGGTCCGGCGCCCGCCGCTCCGCCTGAGGGCCCGAGACCTGTCGCTCCATCCATCTGGGGGTCCGGCGCCCGCCCGCTCCGCCTGAGGGCCCGAGACCTGTCGCTCCACCTGGGGGTCCGGCGCCCGCCGCTCCGCCTGAGGGCCCGAGACCTGTCGCTCCACCTGGGGGTCCGGCGCCCGCCGCTCTCCGCCTGAGGGCCCGAGACCTGTCGCTCCACCTGGGGGTCCGGCGCCCGCCGCTCCGCCTGAGGGCCCGAGACCTGTCGCTCCATCTGGGGGTCCGGCGCCCGCCGCTCCGCCTGAGGGCCCGAGACCTGTCGCTCCTCCTGGGGGTCCGGCGCCCGCCGCTCCGCCTATGGGGCCCGAGACCTGTCGCTCCGCCTGGGGGTCCGGCGCCCGCCGCTCCGCCTGAGGGCCCGAGACCTGTCGCTCCACCTGGGGGTCCGGCGCCCGCCGCTCCGCCTGAGGGCCCGAGACCTGTCGCTCCGCCTGGGGGCACGATGCCTGTCGCCCCGCCTGGGGGCACGATGCCTGTCGCCCCGCCTGGGGGCACGATGCCTGTCGCCCCGCCTGGGGGCACGATGCCTGTCGCCCCGCCTGGGGCACGATGCCTGTCGCCCTGCCCCGGGGGGGCCCGGTGCCTGCTGCTGCTCCGCCCGGGGGCCCGGTGCCTGTCGCCCCGCCCGGGGGCCCGGTGCCTGTCGCCCCGCCCGGGGCACGATGCCTGTCGCCCCGCCCCGCCCGGGGGCACGATGCCTGTCGCCCCGCCCGGGGCACGATGCCCTGTCGCCCCGCCTGGGGGCACGATGCCTGTCGCCCCGCCTGGGGGCACGATGCCTGTCGCCCCGCCTGGGGGCACGATGCCTGTCGCCCCGCCTGGGGGCACGATGCCTGTCGCCCGCTCCGCCCGGGGGCACGATGCCTGTCGCCCCGCCCGGGGGCACGATGCCTGTCGCCCCGCCGGGGGCACGATGCCTGTCCGCCCCGCCTGGGGGCACGGTGCCTGTCGCCCCGCCTGGGGGCCCGGTGCCTGCTGCTCCGCCCGGGGGCCGGTGCCTGCTGCTCCGCCCGGTGGCCCGGTGCCTGCTGCTTCGCCTGGGAATCCGATGTGCCTCTGCCCGGAGTCCTGCCCGATGTGCCTCTGCCCGGAGTCCTGCCCGATGTGCCTCTGCCCGGAGTCCTGCCCGATGTGCCTCTGCCCGGAGTCCTGCCCGATGTGCCCTCTGCCCGGAGTCCTGCCCGGTGTGCCTCTGCCCGGAGTCCTGCCCGGTGTGCCTCTGCCCGGAGTCCTGCCCGGTGTGCCTCTGCTGCCCGGAGTCCTGCCCGGTGTGCCTCTGCCCGGAGTCCTGCCCGGTGTGCCTCTGCCCGGAGTCCTGCCCGGTGTGCCTCTGCCCGGAGTCCTGCCCGGTGTGCCTCTGCCCGGTGTGCCTCTGCCCGGTGTGCCTCTGCCCGGTGTGCCTCTGCCCGGAGTGCCGCTGCCCGGAGTCCAGCCCCGGTGTGCCGCTGCCCGGAGTCCTGCCCGGTGTGCCAGTCTTTGCTATCCCGCCAGTTGCCAGACCCGGGCGGTGGAACATTTTGCCCAGCTAGGACTGTTTGGAGCGTCCTGAGGCCGCTCCTTGAGAGGGGGTACTGTTAGGAATGGACTGGCCAGCAATGGTGGGACTCACCTGCCTTTTGATCTGCAGTACCAGGGCTGGCCAGCGGGTGCTCCCAGCAGCCTTGGTGTTGTGTTTGTCCTGGGCCCTGTATCTGTCCTGCATCCTGTTTCTGTTCCTTCGCTGACCCTGATCTGAACTGCTGCTGACTTCTCCTGCTCTGATCCTGGCTTGTGACCCTGACCACCCCTCTGTCTGACCCTCTGTACCTCGCTGCTTGCTACCTGCTGAACCTGGCCTGTGACCCCGACCATTCTCTGCTTGCTCCCCCCGTACCTACCTGCCCAATTGATATTGACCCGGCCTGCCTGACGACGCTTGCTTGTATGTACTGTTATCTGTGGGTGGTTGGTTGGTTTGTTTGCACTGTAGTATGTTTAGTATTGCCCTGCGTTTATGTTTGTATGGTTAGTGTTAATAAATTATATTGTTTATCACATTTCTGAAGTCTGCGTTTCCCTGCATCAGTCACACATCTCTGGTCATACCTGGGAGTCCTGACACTGGCCCACCTAAAGTCTGAGGGACCGTAATCTGACCATTTTTTCCAGAACTGTTGTATCATGTAGGTTTGGATTGTGGTGGACAGTGCCACATCCACTCATAAACGTAAAACACAAAGAGAACAAAGGATTGGACTTGGGGTGCATAAACCATATGTTAAGATTTCAATAAAACCTTCTTTTATTTCATATTTACAAAAATGATCACAAATGTACAAAACACCCATAACATATCTGTGGAGTATCTTTGCTACACATTAATATTATATGTTCCTATCATACAACTACCTCTATTTATGACACCACCCCATTTGTTCCAATTTTTCACTGCTTCATCAGGAGTAAACTTTGAGATCTTTAAGGAGTCAATAGACGTATAATGAGAGCTCATCGTAATGTATAGCATAGTAGCAGAACCAGAATCAGAACCTTCAGGGCCCTGATGCAATAAACTCTGAAGGCCCCCTGACCCCCAGCCAGGGCCCTTCCTTCCTATCTTGGTGGTGGAATGCTAGGGCCTGGTCACAAGTACGACTTTTGCAACTCTGGTTGCTTTTAATGTTTTTGCATCTTTTTCTTACCTTTGGGTCCTATTTGTACTGAGACGATGTTACTTACAAAAAGCAAATGGTAAAATAAATTTCTAGTTAATTCATGGTTACCTTAAAACATGTCAGGATACAGTTATTGATGTAACTGTTGTTTCCTCTGGGAGTATATTAATCTGGCAGCAATAACAATAGTCAATTCACTCCATTCTCTCTTACTTAATGAAGTCCTTCAAGGTTCTTTCACCTATTAAATTTGCTGTATAAAAATAAATCATTGATTGACATTGTGTAGTGGTCTGTTCTCATGTGGGTTACCTTATTATTGGTATATTTTGGAGTCCATAGATTAACCAGGTAAAGCATTCTAAATTCACAATTAGTGGCTTGGGGTTTAGAACATTAATTGTATTGGTGAATGCATTCAGGTAGAGATTTCCAGACTATTTTATATAGAATTTACAATACATATAGTAGTGTTCAAAAATTACTGTATAGGCAGTTGCGAAGAAAATGCTGTAGTAAAAGAATGTTTTCAGAAATAGAAGTGTTAATAGTTTATTTTTTATTAATGAACAAAATGGAAAATAAACAAGCAGAAGAGAAATCCAAATCAAATCATTATTTGGCGTGATCGCCCTTTGCATTAAAAACAGCATCAGTTCTTCTAGGCACATAGTTTTTGAAAGAACTCGGCAGGTAGGTTGTTCCGAACATCTTGTAGAACTAAACACAGCTATTCTGTGGATGTAGGCTGCCTCAAATCCTTCTGTTTCTTCATGTAATCCCGGACAGACTCCATGATGGTGAGGTCAGGGCTCTGTCTGGGCCAAACCATCACTTCCAGCGCTCTTTGGTTTTCTTTACACTAAAGATAGTTCTTAATGACATTGGCTTGTATATTTGGGGTGGTTTTCGTGATGCAGAATACATTTGAGGCCAGTCACACACCTCCTTGACGGTATAGCATGATGGACAAGTTCTCCTTCTCTTTTTCCTCCTTCTCCTCCTTCTTCTCCTTCTTCTCCTCCTTCTTCTCCTCCTTCTTCTCCTCCTTCTTCTCCCTCACATTCTCCTTCTTCTCCCTCACATTCTCCTTCTCCCTCTCCTTCTTGTTCTTCTTCCAGGAGCAATATCCCATCTTTAAGCTATTGATGAAGGAAGTCTTCAGGCTGTCCAATGTTCACAGAAGGCTACAGATTAGTTAGGGAGATGATAACATTGACAAGAGCAATATGCACAGATGGAGATTTAAAGAAGGGGCGCTTCCATTGAAAATAAACCACATAGTGGGAGTCCATCAGTGTAGGAAAGCCTGCACTCCTCCTTCTTCAAGAACTCAATGATGGCACGTTGCTTCTACTTCAAATCCATTGTTTACCTAAAATTAAAAAGAAGATGAAGAAGAGTTACTGTAGAGGAAGAATTACTCTGCCAACATGTGACATGGGAAAAACCTATGTAAGTTAATAAAAAAAGTTATGCCTACTATCATATAAATATTTGCAGAAAATAAACCAGTTCATTCTCCTGTACTCCTGTACTCCTAACCAGTTCATTCTCCTGTTGACTTCAGAAAAACCCATTTAACCACTTCAGCTCTGGAAGGTTTTACCCCCTTCATGGCTAGGCCATGCTTTGCTATTTAGCACTGTGCTACTTTACCTGGCAATTGCGCGGTCATGCAATGCTGTACACTAGAAAGGGAATGGGTGTGATGCAATGCTGTACACAAACATAATTGATATAATTTTTTTCACACAAATAAAGCTTTCCTTTGGTGATATTTGATCACCACTGGGTTTTTTAATTTTGTGTATTATGTATTAAAATTTTGAAAAAGCAACAATACTGTATGTTTTACTTTCTGCTATAAAACAAATAAAAAAAATTAAACAAAATAAAATTTCTTCATAAATTTAGGCTAAAATGTATTTTGCTTCGTGTCTTTGGTAAAAAAAATATCCCAATAAGTGTATATTGATTGGTTTGCCAATTGGTTTTACCCCTTCTTGGCCAGGCCATGTTTTGCTATTTAGCACTGTGCTACTTTACCTGGCAATTACACGGTCATGCAATGCTGTACACTAGAAAGGGAATGGGTATGATGCAATGCTGTACACAAACATAGTTTATATCATTTTTTTTCACACAAATAGAACTTTCTTTTGGTGATATTTGATCACCACTGTTGTTTTTTTTATTTTTGTATTATAAATTAAAATTTTGAAAAGCAACAATAATGTATGTTTTACTTTCTGCTGTAAAACACATCCAATAAAAAATTTAAAAAAATAATTTATTCATAAATTTAGGCCAGAATGTATTCTACTTCATGTCTTTGGTTAAAAAAAAAATTATGATAAATATATTTAGATTTTGTTTTATATATACTAGTAATGAGTGGATCAGCAACTTATAGTGGAACTGTGATAGTGCATCGGGCACTCTGACACTAATTGGCACTGGGGTGGGAACTGACTAACTGACACTGTCATCCCCAGTGACACTAATTCAGTGATCAGTAATAATACTATGCACTGATACTGCACTAATGACACTGGCTGGGAAAGGGTTGAATTCTTGGGAAATTCTTGGGGAAATCAATGGGTTTAAGTAAGTGCCTAACATTTGTTAATGTGTGCTGGTTTATACTAAAAAACTCTTTGTTCCTTCTCCCTGCTTTGCTGGGAGAAGAAACAGAGAGACTGTCCCCTCTGTACAGAGCCCTGTGTTGATTGTCAACAGAGGGCTCTGGGCTGTGATTGAACATAGTCAATCAGCGGGCCCCGGCCATGAGTCATTGGCCAAGATCAGCTGACAAGACATAGCAAGGGTAGATAGGCACAAGCCCTGTACCCGGCAGGGGCCAGTGACGTACAGATAGGACCCTGCACCTGTACAGGCCTCCCAGTGTGCAGTACATTTCAGGCTGGTGGTTCTGTAGTGGTTAAATTCATAACCCTTATTAACCTCTTGGCGCCGGCCGGACGCAAATGTGCGGCCTTCCAGCATCTGGCCCTAGACCTCGAGTGGCAGCATATTTGCGTTCTATTAAAAAAAAATCGTATTTGCTGAGAGAACACGCCCTGCGCACTCCCAGCACACATGTCCGGTACTCACGGAAAGGTCCAGATCTCCTCTTTTGATCGGGACCTTTCCCGATCATGTGACCACCGTGACGGCGTGTCACAGCGGTCACATAACACTAAACCCCACCCCGCCTCCTGGCTTCTGAAATCCTTAAAGGGCCGGGAGATGCCAACGCCAAGGGGTTAAAGACTTTTTGTACAAGCCTCTTGGCCTGTAAGATAACCACTTCATGCTGATGCCTTTAAAAAGAAATTGTTTGTTATTATTTAAGAATTGAACCATAATTATTTCCTAACCAAGCACGTGTTCTATAGTAAAATTAGAAAATGGCAGACAATTAGACTGAAGTCACAGGATTCATACTCCTTGGATTTCCAGAACTTCATGGATTTCGGATTCCATGCTTCCTTCTCTTCACCTTCATCTATGCCTCAACAATAACTGGAAATGCCTTCATCATTGCCATGGTGCTAATTAGCCATCATTTACATAGCCCAATGTATTTTTTCCTCAGTCACCTTTCAGCATGTGACATTTTAATCAGCACAAATGTGGTACCCAACACACTCCAGATTCTATTAAATAACTCCACCTCTATGTCGGTCCAAAGCTGCTTTGCCCAGTTGTATTTTTTCGGTTCTTCCGCCATCATTGAAAATTGTCTCCTCTCCGTGATGTCCTATGATCGCTATTTGGCCATATATGACCCATTGCATTATTCCTCCATCATGGCTTACCCTCATCATTATTATCTTGCGATTTGGTCTTGGTCAATGGGCTTCGTCTTAGCCATTATCACTAATGTCCTTCTACTTCAGGTTCGGTTTTGTGGTCCAAATATCATTGACCACTTTTTTTGTGATCTTTCTCCACTGTTGGGGATCTCGTGTTCGGATTCATCGGCTGTGCAGATCGCTGTGGCGGTAGTGGCTGGAGTAATAGGCCTCCTACAGTTCTTGTTTGTGCTTGAAACCTACATTTGCATCTTCAAGGCCATCTTCCAAATCTCAACCACAGCTGGGAGACAGAGAGCCTTTTCCACCTGCAGCGCTCATTTGTCCGTTGTATGTACGTACTACGGATCACTCATTTCTCTTAATTTAGTGCCATCCAAAGGATATTCTGCAAAATTTAAGAAAACCTTGTCAGTTTTGAACACTGTGCTGACCCCGTTATTCAACCCTATCATATACAGCCTGAAGAACAAAGAATTACAGGAAGCCCTACGCCAGCTGACCTTCCTAAGAAAACATTTCAAGAAGAGCTGACCATTTGTTATGAGACATACTGGGTTCCATTGACTCAAGCAGATGCAGTATTTAGTCAATCTGACACATTTTTACCAAATTTCGCATGTAATGCTGAAAATGTTGATTCGCTATCCCTTTATGTGGTATTTACCTCAAAAACCAAAATCGTTTGGTAAATACCTCATAAAACAGTGTTAAAAGTCAATTCACTAAAGCAGGGGTGGGCAACTGTGGCCCTCCAGCTGTTGTAGAACTACAAGTCCCATGAGGCATTGCAAAACTGACAGTTACAAGCATGACTTCCAAAGGCAGAGGCATGATGGGATTTTGTAGTGCACCAACAGCTGGAGGGCCACAGTTGCCCACCCCTGCACTAAAGCAAATAAATAAATATTTGTGTTAACCACTTGCCCTCCGGAAGGTTTTTTTTTCCCCCCTTCATGACCTGGCCTTTTTTTGCTATTCAACACTGAGCTACTTTACCTGGCAATTGCTCGGTCATGCAACGCTGTACCCAAATAAAAATTACAACCCCTGGTAAAAAGTATGGAATCACCACTCTTGGAAAATGTTCATTCAATTGTTTAATTGTGTAGAAAAAAAAACAATTAAAAAAAACCCAGTGGTGATCAACTACCACCAAAAGAAAACTCCATTTGTGTGAAAAATTATATACTTGTGTATCCTTTTTCACACAAATAGATTTTCTTTTGATGGTATTTGATTACCACTGGGTTCTTTTTTTATTTTTATTATATAAATGAAAAAAACCTGAAAAATTTTAAAAAACATATTTTCCACATACATATGTACATAAATATACACAACATATTTTCTTTTATAAAACATAAAAAAAAAAATCATATATTTAGGCCAAAATGTACTCTGCTACATATCTTTGGTAAAAAAAAAAAACCCCAATAAGTGTATATTAATTGGTTTGTGTGAAATGTATAGCGTCTACGAACTATGGGATATATTTGAAAATTGAACAACCCCGATGTACTGACGGCCTATCTCATTTTTTGAGGCCATAAAATGTCAGGACAGTACAAGTGTCCCCCTAATGACGCCATTTTGGAAATCAGACAGTCTGAGGTATTAGGGTAGTATGAGGTAGTAAGAGGCCTGGTGAGTTTTTCTTGAAATTTTACATTTTTTTCACAATTTTTTTTGAAAATTAAGCATTTATTTTTTTTGTACAATTGTTTTTTTGTTAAATACCAGTCAACAGTGCAGTACTGCATCATCACATAACTGGTATGGCAGTGATCAGGGATACTGACTGATGACATTAGAAAAATAATTTTTTATTAAATTTTTAAAATACATTTTTCTCTTTTTTTTGCAATTTTTTTCTTTTTTGCTACCTATTTCCTTTTTTTTACATCCTATCAAAGTAGCTCAGTGTCTCCATAGTGATACTGTATTACTTGGGGGGGCAATCAGGGATTTTTTTACACTGGTATTGCTTATACAATGATGATGCCTGTAAAAGCAATAGTTTTGGTTGCCATGAGTGGGTTTCCCATTCATGAACAGCTTGCTTATGTTTGTGATCTAAGATTGGCTTCAATTAATCACATGATACAGGTAGCCAGGTATCATGTGATTGCTGTAGGCCAATCGCAGATCCCAACAGTAAGCAAGCTGTTCATGGATGGAAGGCCATTCATGATAGGTTGCTTACATTGTTATCATGTGATCACTATGACCAGTCATGATACCCAGTTACTGAATACTGGTAACAGTAATCCGATGTGTCCGATGCAGTCACATAAGGGGTGTGCTGCGTGCGTCTAACTTGATCACTTATATATACATGACTGTGCCGGCATGTGCCACCATGCAGTAGTAAAAGTACTTTGTCAGGGAGGCAAGTAGTTAAATAAGTACCGGTCCAGGCATGCGATATTGACTGAAAAATATAATAGCCAATATGGAGTAGCCTATATCTTTTTGGATCAGTGGTCTCTTATGAGTAATACATATAAACAGTATCTATGGATAAAAACATTTAGTAAATCCACCCCATTACATGAAGTAAATCCACCCAATTACATTTAGTAAGTCCACCCCATTACATTTAGTAAGTCCACCCCATTACATGAAGTAAATCCACCCAATTACATGTAGTAAATCCACCCCATTACATTTAGTAAATCCACCCCATTGCATGTAGTAAATCCACCCCATTACATGTAGTAAATCCACCCCTTTATATTTTAGTAAATCCACCCCATCACATGTAGTAAATCCATCCCATTACATGTAGTAAATCCACCCCATTACATGTAGTAAATCCATCCCATTACATGTAGTAAATCCACCCCATTACATGTAGTACATCCACCCCATTACTTTTAGTAAATCCACCCCATTACGTGTAGTACATCCACCCCATTACTTTTAGTAAATCCATCCCATTACATGTAGTAAATCCACCACATTACATGTAGTAAATCCACCCCATTACATGTAGTAAATCCATCCCATTACATGTAGTAAATCCACCACATTACATGTAGTACATCCACCCCATTACTTTTAGTAAATCCACCCCATTACGTGTAGTACATCCACCCCATTACTTTTAGTAAATCCATCCCATTACATGTAGTAAATCCACCACATTACATGTAGTAAATCCACCCCATTACATGTAGTAAATCCACCCCATTACATTTAGTAAATCCACCCCATTACATGTAGTAAATGCACCCCATTACATTTAGTAAATCCACCCCATTACATGTAGTAAATCCACCCCATTACATGTAGTAAATCCACCCCATTACATTTAGTAAATGCACCCCATGTAGTAAAATCTATCTATATTCTATCATTTCGCTGGATTTTCAGAGACTTTTTTTCATGTATATACAAGCATATACATCATTTTCAGCAAAAAAAACCTCCCAGTCACTCTGGCTAAATGGTTAGCACTTCCACCTGGCAGTACTAGAGTTGATGGCTTGAATCCCAGCCACAGCACCACCTGCCTGGTGTTTGCATGTTCTCCCTGTGCCTGTGTGGATTTGCTCCGGTTTCCTCTCACACTCCAAAGACATGCTGGTAGGTTCAATGAATCATGTCTAAATTGTCCCTAGTATGTGTATGTATGAATGTGAGTTAGGGACCTTAGATTGTACGCCCCTTGAGGGTTAGGGACCTTAGATTGTACGCCCCTTGAGGGTTAGGGACCTTAGATTGTACGCCCCTTGAGGGTTAGGGACTGATGTGAATGTACAATATATATGTAAAATGCTGGGTAAATTGACAATGCTATATAAGTACCAGAAATTAAATAAAAATAAACATATTACAATGTACATCCATATCACATAGTTAGTCTGGCTGAAAAAAGACAAAAGACCATCCAGTTCAACCATAGAAAAAAAAAAAGTTATAATCCTACACCCACAGTTGATCCAGAGGAAGGCAAAAAAAAAACAGCAAAGCACAATCCAATTGCTCCTGCAGAGGAAAAAAATCCTTCCTGATCCCCTGAGAGGCAATGGTCTAATCTCCATATGTAATGGGGATCCTTTAGTTTTTCCCAATTATTTTTAGAAATATCTTTGGCACAAATATTTGCAAGACAAAATCAGATTAGGAACAGACGAGTATTCTTACAAAGATATGGAACTTGGGCTGCTAGGAGAAGGGTGTCATCAGTTGGAAGGTTAGACAGATGGGTACCAGAACGGCACTTTCAAGAACATCAGAGAATGACAATGGCTATTGTCTAACAAGGCAAAACAGACCTGTTCAAAGAGAGAGCAATGACTTCACCAAATATCACACCAAAAATTACTTTGACCATTTTGATGCTAGTGACCATGACTTTTTTATTGGAACTGTTCAGTAGACTCTTCTGAGCAAATCAATAGCTCTGAGCAGCAGATGACAATCCGCTGATCAGAGCTATTCACCTAAAATGTGATTTTTTTGTGTGTTTGTATTTTTAGCGAATATATAGTCTTGTTAAACATTTGTGCAAAAATCACAAAAAAAAAACATAAAAATATATAAAATATAAAAAAACAGTAGATCCTTCTTTTTTATTCTACAGTCCATGTGCTTTCAAAAAATATATGGTTTTCTATGCTTAGATATCTTCAATGTAATTGGAAATTGATATGCAACTACTTTGTAGAGGAATGTTCCTCACTAGAGATGAGCGAATCGAAGTATCCGAAGTGGAATTCGAGTCGAATATCGGAAAAATTTCGATTCGTGCCGAATCCGAAAATAGCCTAATTCGGACGCGCGAATCGAAATTTTTCAGAAAATGGCGGCTGACATGTGCGGCGACGGAGCGGGGATGTCTGGGAAGGCGCGCAGACAAGGCGCGCTGACCCATAATGCATTCCTCAACTACATGTGATCGCATCAGCCTATCAGCAGCCAGCCAGCCAGCACTGTGTAATGGTCGAGCTATAAATAGCGGCCATTTTGGAATTCTTCATTTGCCTGCAGTTATTGAACAGAGGCAGACCGCTCTGTACTAGGGACAGGGACAGAGTTAGGGCCACAGAAACGATAATTGGGGACAGAGAAAAGTTACTTAGGGACAGAGAACCATTACTCAGGGACACAGACTTGTTAATGAGGGCCACAGAATCGTTATTTAGGGACAAAGAAACGCTAGTTAGGGCCACAGAATTCATAATCAGGGACACACAGAATTGTTACTCAGTGCCAGAGAATTGTTACTTA